ATTTTTGTAATTTTTTCTATAAATTAATAATAAAAATATTTAATAAATACACTTTAAAGAAAAAAATCTTAATATATATTACTAATTTAATACCAATTCAACACTGATGTAGGATAAAAAATGCCACCTTATTGTTATACAAGCAATGGATCCGACCAAAAATCACGAGTGTCTAATGTAAGCCATGCAAAAATAATTGATTTGCAACCATATAATGAGTTAAGGAGTTGATTTGTGTTTGTTTCTAGTTGAGCGGCTGATTTGCCACCATTCACTACGTACAGGGACTGATTTGCCCTCTTATCTTTTTTTTTTTTAAGATTTGAATTATACCATTTAATTTTGGTGTATCAATTGATACGTCAAATACGAGTTGGAACATCAAAATTTGATTGAAAATATCAAAATTTGACTGAAATGGGTTTTAAACCTATACCATTTTGATTTAATTGAAAAACTAATATGTACCAACTACACCTATTCATATAAAACGAAGCTGACAACTTTGGCTTACTCTCCAGTGTCTAAATTTCATGTGTGGGCTCGACTCATTATATTTGTAGGGCACGGTTGATGTCTGCCCAAAATGGTAAGCAATATTTTGCTTCGATTCTTTGAAGGAACTATAAGGTAATTTTTTTGTGAATTTTTTATTTTAAAAAAAATTAAAATATTGTGAATAATTTACATGAATTTCTTAATATTCTAGGAGTAAGTTATTAGAATTGAGCTTCAATTATTATTATTACTATTTTTTTCACTTTTGGGTTGCATAATAACATGTAATTTTTTTATTTTTTAATTTATTTTATTTGTATATTATATGATTCAAATTTAAAATTTGTTATTTTAAAAAAATTTATATTAAATTATTTAAATAATTAAAATAAATTTAATTATTTTATTTTATTAAAAAATTTATTAGTAGAGGAACCCATCGCATTAAAATGCAACTTCCAACACAAACGCTACACACTACCTATATTTCAGTTACGATGTTACATCCTATACCTACCGGGATGGCTTGTGTCATGTTAACAAGAAGATAGACAGCTTTATGCACTGATTGCATTGGCGACACGGATAAAAAAATTCTACCCTCCATTATTGATGTCAAAAGAAAAAAAAAAAAATTATTGGAGTATATTATGTAATACAGGTTGCAAACAAAATCCAAAGCTCACTTCTTAATTAATTTCAGACAGCAGATTGACAGCAGTGAAGACTTTGTTTAGCCTCTTTGCCTCTGTCATTTTGCAATTTGACTCATAATTCACAGAACAGATTCGATTCTAAAGAATCTTGATTAAGATTTCAAGCACTCCTCAACAAGACTCTGAGAGCGCCCTTTGGTAC